CAGTTGGCTATTAGAATGGAAAATACAGTGCTGATGCACCTTGGAAAGTAGTAATAGCCTGTTTAGAAAATAAGATGGGAGGAAGAATGCTCTGTTTAGTAATGAGCCTTATTATGAAAATATGGCTGCAACGCAAATGCATGGGGGGAAGGATGTTACCTGGTGATACATGGCATATTGTTTATGGCAAGGCTGGAGGTGGGAAATGAGGGAAGCCCTTGCTGCTTTGGAGGCACAAGGAATTGTGTTCTTGCCCCATCAGCTGATTTACTTCGTCTGCCCAGAACTTTCTGCTTTGCCTCAATATCGGGTTGGTCTGTGCAATGCATGTTCCCAGATTAGTTTTCCTTGTGAAGAGACTTGCTTTTTGGTAGCTACTTACCTTAAGCAAACTGCAAAAGGGAAAGGCTTCTCTGACTTTTGTAATATGACTTGCTAGTGTAGCTCATGATACCATATTTCAGTTAGTTTTCTTTAAAACACTTGGTCTCTGTAGGCTATGTAGTACGGTCATGTCTGTTCTACAACTGTTGAGTCCAGGCCAAGTCTTAAGAAAATGTTGTGTATTGACACAAAGCGCTATGGACATTTTAACTAGCGCGGGAGAACGAAATAGCTTCAGTCCAAACCTTATAGCCTAATGAAATGTTTGCTTTCGTATTTTTTGTAACAAAATCCTATGGCTTTGTCAGTAGGAGACCGGAGAGTTTAGCGATGCTTGAAAATCCCTATCTATGGGAAGGAAAGCATAGAGCAGTCAGAAATACCCGGATTTGTGAAAGATAGAAATGTTCTCTTTTTTGCTTGCAAGTGAAAGGCGGCTGTGCGTATGTGCCAGGTCTTGCCCAGTTCTTACCTAGCTAAGTTTCTGTTGCTGAATCTGAACACAACCTTGTTCCCTGTGCCTTGAAACAGAGTAGATTTGGAATGCTGTGGCTGTTCTGATCCATGTTCTGGAAGGAATCCTGTTGTCCAATTTTTTTATGCCTATCACATGTCCAGTGTTTGTTCTTACATATTCATTGGGCAAATTTATTTACCTGACCAAATATTTTTCATGTTAATTGGCATGCACATGGCTGTGGAGCTCAACCAGATCAGACTATATCATATTCATTTGTTTGGTAGACATCCCTGTAGGTTCTCAGTGCAGTTTCCAACCCATACTGCTGGGGTTGTTTCTTATATATACTAATCTAGCTGACAAATTGTTCCTTCTCTTTTCTAATTTGACAGAACACAATGAAGGCTTCTAAAGAAATGAGGCTTTTTCTTGATAAACTGGTGATCAGAGCTCCATGGTTTTATGCCAGCAGCGCAGATCCAGTCCCCATTTGGCTTGATGTGTTTGCCACTGGTGCTTCTGGGAGTGCTGTTTGGTTTTTGTAGCCTGCTGCTGTTTCGGGGCTACACCTCTCTTGTGGTCTCAGAATGGCAAATCTCCAAGAAATAATGACCAAAGAAAGCAAAAGCGATGCTGTGGTGCGCAGTGCTCACGTGATCCTTAAATATGTAAACAGGAGTGTGTTAAATTCATGATTTTACTAATGTGTGATGCCATCCATGAGACAGCATCTTTTTCTCTCAAGTCTGTCTTCTACATTTTTCAGAAAGTTGCTGGAAAAAATTCAGGAAAGGGTGAAGGGCACAAAAAAATGGTGACTTTCAGCTAAGTCTATCAGAGTTTCTTAAAAGATTGTCTTGTATCTTAATGGAAAGAGGTAATGCCGGTAATGTTTAAAAAAAATAAATAAAGGGAGGTCACAAAAAGCTGTTGAATTGTTTGTAGTGGTTTTGGAGCTGAAACACAATTCCTATACTTATGTATGTTTGTGTGTGTGTATTTCTGGTTTTGCTTGTAAGATGATGATTGGCAGCTCATTACGTTTGTCACATGTAAAAATGTGTTTATTCAACTAATGCATAATTGCATGATTCTCAAACAGCTAATTTTGTGTGTCACAAGGAATTTGCAATTGAAAAATATTTATCTTGTACTGAAGGAGCACAAATTGTTCTGTGGTGCTTTTTAAAAGGGGGTGGTGGTGGCAGTGGGACACGGGATGTGAATTGAAACTAGTTCAGAGTTAAATGCTACTTTGAGATGAATAATTCATGTAGTGTATTATAGATTCTTGGTAAATCAATAAAGTACTGTTTGGGCATTTCTTTACCTAATTGAGTTGTGAGAGGAAAATACTATGACCCCAGAGTCATTCATAATTACTTGTAATGTATATCTATGAGGGTCAGCGGAGGAATAAACAAATTGATAAGGTAGCAATCTCTTTTTTTATTAAAATGGATGAAACCATTGAAGAGACATGTTTTTAAGACTTAAAACTCTTAAATAATATTCAGAGATAGTTCCAAGCTGACATTTGACATCTTTTTCATCTTTTGAACATTAGACAACTGAACGCAGCCACACATTATAGTTCTGTAGAATAGAGATTGTCTCTGGTATTGTTTTTTCATTGACATAGAAGAATAAATTGCAGGAAGGAAGCTGTGAAGTCATTCTTCAATATTATGAAATATGAAAGTTATATTTCAATATTAAGTAGCCCAAGACAGGATTACTTGTCTCTCATAATTGCAAATGTATTACTGCTTAGCAATTAATAGTTATTTTTTAGAAAACAGATTTGATTCTGCTAACTGGAAAAATAAAGCTGCCTCTCAAAATATCTATCATAAAAATTACCCTGAAAGTCATATTTCTGCAAGTACATTGGAGAGCGCTTTTGTTGTTTTTATTCTGAAAATACACTTTTAGAGGGATCTGGGACCGCAAGGCTGTTGTCTCTTATGTATAGTGGATCACATCAGGCGGAGTGTGTTCCTACACCCCGACCCTCATGGTAAAGGAATTCCTCAGGCTGCTCCGTGAGTTGTCTGCCTCTGGTGCATCACAGTCGTAACTTTCTCACTGTCTACAGCACGTTGTCTTTGTAACTGAAAGACGAATTCAGATTAAAATACTTGCCCCTGTGCAAACCTTCTGATAGTTTCCTCTTCAGAAAAAACTGACCTACACTCAAGTGAAGTAATTCTGCAGTCACCTGTATGACTTGGAAAATGCATTAGGGCATGATTTGAATGTTTTGATTTCTTCTTGGCATCTCCTGTAGTTTAAGCGTCGGTGATTTCTAAGATGCATTCACACGCCTTTGCAAGAGCATTATTATGCATGTGCAGATGGTATGTGTACCAGAAGAATTTTTTCAGGTGAAAAATGACAGACCTTTTATTATGAAGAAAAGCTTGGTAATAAGCAGCACAGGTGAGATATTAGGTGTACCATTAACTATACACAGGAAAGATGTATTGAAAGATATCTTCAATTTTATTTCAGTTTTTAAAATGTATGTGAGTTTATTCTGGGTGTTACTGAATATAAGTGTTGCAATATGGCCTCTTCTCTTTTTGTGATTTACTTTGGGCAAGAAGTTGTAGCTACTCATCTTGCTGCAAAAGTTAGCTTGGTTTTTTATCCAGTCTCAGTATTGCTATATCTGTGTTTGACTGCTTGGTCATTAATAATGGGCAGCGTGGTAGTGTTTGGCTCTGTTTACGTCGGCTAAATCACTCGGTATGGTTTTTGAAAGTTTTTCCTTAACACCACTTCTGGTTGTAGTCTGAATGCAGTCTAAACACGTGTGTGGTTAAGCATTTTGCCTTTTGAGAGTAATTGGCTAGGTTTTGGCTATTCTACAAGTCTTTTAGTGGGTTCTTTTTCCCCAGAGCAATAGCTTTGGGCACCATGGTGACGGCAGTCAAGTGGCAAAGAAGCTGTTGTCCTGTTATCAAGTTTTAATAAGACTTCTTCTGAAATCCTGTTTTTCATGCTTCACTCCATCCCATCCCCCTACTTTTTTTGTTTTATGTCTCTTGGGATTGAGTGAACTATATTCATGAATCTATTTGAGAAACATTGGTCATTGGTAATTAACAATACAGTTCATTCCTTTAATGTTCATTGTTAACAGAACACACCTATTGCCTTGGAAACACTATTAATTAGAGTTGAATGAAATGTATAGAACTAGATGTTACATGTCTTTTTCTAAAAAAAAGTTTAATGAATTTTGGCTTGACCAGCTGTATTTTCTCATTTTATATGCCTTTTGATTAAAGTGTGAAAGGAATAAAAAAAGGATTTCTTAAAAATTAACGTGCATGCTTTGAAAAAAGAATACAATGTGTATTGTGATTAAAGATTTTGTGTATTTATATACATACACACAGGTATGCACATCACTTCAAAAGAGTGAGTTGTTAGTATTCGGTTACACAACTTGCTCATGGAAACTATGTCATCTGCTCAAAAGGAAACAAAATAAATGTAGTACATTTTTCATAGGAGAGCGTTTCAGTGGCTAGAGAAAGGCGCAGTTGGTGCGCGCGGAGCAGCCATTGGCGAGCGCTGCCCCAGCCTGGGCTCTGCTGTCGCCCTTGGGCAGCGTTGGCCACGCACTGGGCCCTTGGGCTTCCACCGTGCCGGCAAGGAACAGCTTTTGCTCCCTGCTTAGGAGCTTTAAGGAATGTACTTCCCCCCACCCTGCCCTTGGAGAACACTGTGTACCCTTAACTGAATACATTAATTTAATAATCCTGTCTCTCTGCAGAGTTCATCCCAGGAAGTGAGATTCAAGCTTACGGAAAGGAGTTAGAGACTTGCAAACTAATAATTAAAAAAACCACATGCCAAAAACTCCTATCTGCACAAATACAAGTTGATCCAGAGATTCATGCGTAGAGCTGATGATAAATTGCCCCTGCTTTTGGGGAGGCTAATTCTTTTGCTTTTGGCTGTATTGGAAACCTGAAGTCAATTCTGATGAGAAGTAAACTCGGAGAACGTGGGTTACTCGGTGTGCCTAAAGATTGCAGAGGCAGCAGTGAAAAGACAAAACTTCTCTTTGAAGCAGTAGCTTCAGCTGTGTCTTACTGTGTGCACCGGGAACTGAGAGAAATAGCAGCCAACTGGGGAGAAAATGCCAGCTAAAGGTAAATACTTCTTCAACGAAAATGATAACTGCAAGATATCAGACCCACTCTATGAGAAGTACCGCTATACAAGCCAGCAACATCCGCTCCTGCTATTGCTGCTCTTCATTACAATCATCTTCTGGACTACTCTAATTATAATCTTTTTTGTCACTGATGTGAGTATACTTATTTCTTTGTGTTCGCTGTTTTCAAAGATGTTGAGGAATCACTATAACAGCACACAAAACATTTCTGGCTGAATGATTTTTTGAGCCACATCGTATCAAAGTTGCAGCGTTGAAAGAAATAAAGTAATTGTGTATGTAATGCTGTGTATGTTTTTGAAGGGATGGGGAAGAGAGGAGACAGTGTTGTCAGGCTCATGTACAGTTACTGTGAGGATTGTTCTTTCCTTCCTATATGTTATGAACAAATCATAATCTATGCTAAATGGTAGCTATGATAGTAAATAAGTAATAAATGGGCCAAGAGAGGAACAAGAATATAGGTTAAAATGTCCTGTATTTCTCATATCTTTCTTTCCAGAGTCAGATCTAAGAAATGTTAAATAATACAGTGATTCTTTGGTTATGAATTCCTGAGGTGATTTTTTTTCTTTTAAGGATTTGTAGCTATTCATTCCTTTTTTCTTCTTCTTCTTTTTTTGGTAATAAAACCACAACAGTCTCCCAGTACAACAGGTGATCCGTTGAATCAATAGTAAGTTAGCAAAGAGCAAGGATCCAATAGGCATAGGAAAGATGCAGGTTAAAGAATTTTTTGTTGTGTAGTGTAATATGATTTTTTGGAAAGAAATCAGGTGTTCTTCAAGCTAGCTCAGCTGACAGCTGGTAAAAAGGGGAGTTGATTTAAAGATAATGTTGTAAAGAGGTAATAAGGAAGCTGTTACAATCCTTCATTGCCTTCTAACACTGCTTTCCAAACAGTGTGCTTCATGGTAAAGTGTCTTTAAGTCTCTCTTTAGCAACAAATCTAATCTTACCAATTACACTGGTATTCCTTTTAGCTTTCAATTCTTAAAAAATGAAAGAAGTAGCAACACTATTTGTAAGTTACAAGTCATCTCCTGTAAAACTTAGGAGAAGAGCTGTTACACTCCCTTTTAGCAAAGCTTGAACTCCTTAAATGTGTTTCTTTGGATACATCTGCATTCTCCAATATTGTGTAGGTAGAACTTAGCTTAAAAGACAAAACCGAAACCACTAATTTGGGAAATAGTAATGGTGGAACTGGGGTAGACTGAGTGTCTATAATAGTATTTATTATGTTACCTGTGTGAATATCAGAAAGTGTTAATGCTGCCACAGCTAGAGTACTTAGCTTTAAAATATGCTAACCTGAGTTCCTATCTAAGCTGTTTCCAGGAGAGTATAGATGCATTTTCCATTTTTTCTAAAGGGGACATTTAGACCAAATGTAACACTTTGTTTTGCTTTTGCAGGAAGCACATTATCATCTTGCCTTCATTATTGCAGTATGTGCCGCTCTTGTCATATTTGCAGTCATGTACTTACTTTTATGTATTGAGTCCCTATTTCGGAGATGGCTAACGTTATTTGGAGTTATGATTTGGATTTGCTTCTTAATCGTAGGATATGTATCTCTTTTTGAAAAAGAAAATGATTATCAACTGTGGGAACAGGTATGTATATCTTGTTCATGCAGGTACTCACATAGAACTGGTGGTCAGTATATATAAATGTGTTCATGTGCTTTATTTTTTCTGAATAACAGCATAATAATTTTTTCTTGAGATTTAGGTTCACTTTCCTAAATTGGTGTTATTTATTTGTTATAGTAAATTTTAGTTTGTATTCTTTATTATAGTGAAAATACAGTTCAGCTGAGAAAATTGTGTAAGTGCATACATCTGTGTGGGAATTGCATCTTTACGTTATAATCGAATTGTATTTTTATTTAAGATTTTTACTAAATCTTAATTACTATGACTTTATCTTTGAGAGACTTTTTCATTAATAATACTTGCTTTGTTAATTTTATATGGGTCAAAGTGGTGTTCAAGAAATGTATAAAGGACTGTAGTGCTGGGTGTGCCCTAGGGAGCATGTTTTCAAATCAGTGGGAGAGGTGAAGTGAACAATAAGAATTAATGACACATCCTGGCATAGCTGGGTGTGGCTGAAGTTCATTGCTTAGTATCTCTGATCAGAAGACGGGCGATTTCATGATGCCAAAAATATCATAACCTGTAGGAAACTCCTCCTAAGCTCTCATAATGTAAACAGAAGAGTTTTTTAATGAAATAAAAATGACTTTTTATCTTGGTTAACTGACTCTTCCCCTTCCCCTCTTTATTTCAAATAAAGAAAGATATAAATTATCAGTTAAACAACCAAAATCTGATTTCTGTTATGGCCTGGATCCAGCACCGTGTATTTACAGTTGCTATTCAGTATTTTTTAACTTACGGAAGAAGCTATTACCTTAGGAAGTCACAAAATTTACTGTTCTTAACTATAAGTACAAACATGTAACAAAGCAAGATTTGGTTTTGCTGCTTTCAGTGCTGCAAGCCAATCTCTAATGGATTATTACCACATGACACCACCACAGATGTTGATTTAAAGCCTAAAATATAAGGAGAACCCTAGATTAGAAAGAAGTGAATATGTTCATTTTAGACTTTTATCTGAAGTTATGAATTTATCACTAATTAAAGCTACTATTTAAATGCAGGCATGACCTTTGCTTGTCCATGCTTATAAAACTATTATACAGCGTTCAGAACACTGTGTGATAGGGGTTGTACGTATGGCAGAAAAAGATTTACTTTTTTTTTTCAGTCCAGCTAAAATAGTAGAGATGAACATGAAAAGATTACTTTTGTTGAATGAAAACTTTCATTTGCTTGCTTGTTTGTTTGTTTATTATTGTCCCAACCAAGCTATCTATTCTGGCAAAACATTTAAGTGCAGAGTGGGCCTTGAGACTTCCTTGAAGGAAGCTTGTGTCTGGAATGGCACAAGTTGAGTTGCGCTGATGAGATGGAGCTCAGCCAGGAACGCTACAGTATCTTCCTCTCATCAGGGTTGATAGTTTCCATATATATGAGCTAAACACTATAACAAATCTATAAATATGGATTTAAGTTTTATAGACCTTCCTTCTGATCCCTAGCAGTTTAATGGACCATTATGCATTTTGCAAAATCTGTGCAGCTAAATATGTAATTAGTGGCAATTACGATTATTCTCTTGTATTGGCACCAGGAAGTATTGGTTGGATTTTTGGTTTTTAAAATATGGAGTAAACATACTCATGTGATCAGGTGATGTTAAAATTAGAATAATAACTTGGAGAAGGTGAGAAATCTGATTCTATTCAATATTGCTATCCTTGCAACACGCTGTTCCTGACAAGAGATGTACAAAGTGCATCTTCAGCTGCAATGGATAAATTAAGGATGAGGGGCAAGGACAACTGAAAAACTTAAAGGTGATATGTCATGTTAACTTGTCTTGTCTATGAATCTATAGCTGCTAATTCCCTCAAAGCTTTTAGGACTACCGCTGACCTTGTGGTTTTAATTGTGCTTTTGAAAGGTCAATATTTAATTGTTCAGCCTGAAAATGAGCAAAAATCCTACTTTCCTCCTTGTTCTGTAGTGATTTTTGGCAGGCACCTAATAACATGTATGTGTGATTTATTTTTTTTTTCTCCTTTCTTTCTCTCTTTCTTTCTCTTTTTCTTTCTTTCTGTCTTTCTTTCCAAAGGTGCCATTCTTTCTGTTCATAATCTTCACAGTTTATACCATGCTACCCTTTGGGATGCGAGGTGCTGTCATAATTAGCGTTCTTTCTGCTCTCTCCCATATTATTGTTCTAAGCATTGTGGTAAGCATGACTTCTCAGGAAAATAAGGAATCCATTCTGTTTCAGGTAAGGAAAAACTACTTGGTTAAGTAATTAAATGCTGTATTCGTATTACCATTTGATATTGGCATAACTATCCAGTTTAGATAAGTTCCAAACTTCCATGTGGATGTTTCAAATACATGGATTTGGGGCTTGGGCCCAATGTGTTTTGCATGCTTTTCATGAAATTGCAATTTTAATCCATAACGCATTTTGGTTTTCTGACCTAAGCAGAAGAAGCAGAATTACTATTTTAATCTTTTAACTAAGTTACTCAAAATATGACCAACTTTGTCACAATCATCCTTCCCGATCTGTGCTGTTTCAGATGGGTCTATCTAACTTCATCTGGCACTGCCTACAGGGTGGATCAAAAGGGCCATTGCTGCCCTGGGGAGTCAGCAGGGCCTGGGAGTGCTACTGGGTGCTTGCAGGGTTCCCAACACTTATTAGCAGGGTGTGTTCCAAGGAGCACTCCAGCTCTTTTGATGCAGGTGTGTGTCAGACTTCACACAACATGCTGATGCGTGAGTTTGTAGACTGGTTTCTCCCTAAATCAAACATTGGTGCCTGTGAGTAAATGTTAAACAATATAACAGAATTTTCTGTTTCGTTGTACTACTGTATGTTTTTAATGCCCATGGCTGTGAACGTTAGCTTGTAATTCCCAGGTACATCCTGGCTAATTGCAACACCATGATTTGGTGTGTGACAGGGTAAGACAAAAATTGACCGTGGCCTGGGATTGATTGTTTTTAAGGGACTAGTGTGTGTATTAGTGAAGTATCAATGACTGTTCTGCAGAAGGTAAATATTTTTTTTTCTTGTGCAGCTACTTGCCAATGTTGTCATTTTTCTTTGTGGTAACTTGATGGGTGCATTTCACAAACGCCAAATGCAGGTTGCTTCGTGGGATTTGTATAGATACACATTAAAGTGCATTCAGGTCCGAATGAAATTGAAGATTGAAAAGAGGCAACAAGTGAGTAATTCATGTTATGATTTGCATGTTTTCATTTCTGAAGTCTGATTAACTTTATAAGGTTGGTGACTAATGCATGTTGAAAGGCTTGGTCCAATCTTTGTGATACCCACCTAGTGTCAAAAATAAAAATTGTGCCATTTGTAACAAAAGAAGGAAGTTTAAGGGAGGAAGCTGTTCTCTGTGGCTTGTCTGTATGAAAATCACAGTGTTTGTAACAGGAATGTAATTGCCAGTTATTTTAGTTACTTTTTTCCTAGTATAAAATGTTACTGGGACTGGCCCAAGGTTACTTAAAAGAACATGCCCTTAATGTCCTGAAAATTATTTAAAAGGTAGTTTCAGCAGCTAGTTTCATGCTTCCCTTGGTGGCATTTTTTTGTTTTGAATTCTAAAGTATTATTTGTTCTTGTATTTTCTTGTCTCGCAAACTATTTTCCTTTTGCTAGACAGAAAAAATTGGAGCCTAAGGGATGAAAAAAAAATCATATGATTACAGTATTGCAGTATGACATCGTTTATTTCCATAAACTGCAGTGGTATTTAAAGAATAAGAAAGGAATATGAATTTCTTACTGAGGAAGGATTGTAAAGAAGTATCAAAGCTGAAAGTAGGGCACCTTTCCTCTTTTATCCTGGTATAAGTAGAGTTAAGAACAGCAGCTCTAGAAAGCTGATGTGTATCGAGTCCTCTGCTCACCAGTTATTAGATAAAAGGAAGGGGCTGAAAAGTGACTGCCTTGATTAAATTGAAAAGAAGAAAATGCCACATTGCCAGCGCGATCTGTCCTCTGATGCTAATCTTGTGAGGTGAGATGACAAATCTGCATGAAAGCCCTGGCAGAATTTCCCCACACAGCAGCCAGGGAGGTATCTGATCAGCTTGCACAGGCAGTGTGCTCTCATTCTTTGGGCGATGTGGTAACTTGCATGATTGGTTTGGTTTTGGTTTTTTTTATGGTTGCTTGTTTGAAATGTAGGTATGCTTAAGTCTCTGGACAGCTTGCTTTTCATCTGTGTTGTAATTTGTCACACAATTTTGAGTTTCCTTTTTGCCACCCACTTTTTCTCTGTGAAAACGATGTGAGAAATGCAGTTCAGGGTTCATCATCACTTCCTTGAAAACTGTAATTTGTCGGCCTCAAATGGCCCTGGTTCATTCACTGGGGCTCTGCTGCCAGTTTAAATTGTTCCCTAAGGTTGACTCTCCTAGTATTAAAATGCTAGAGGAGGGGAAGGAGGTGTTTCTATTTCTGGGGGCAGTCTCAAACCAAACTGCTGTCTATGCCTAGTGTAGGCCAATACTTGATGCTGAAGGACTCCCTCTTCCCGCTGTGATACCGAGGTGTTTCTTTTTGGAGGCAGGCGCTTACTGCCATCTGCATGCTGCTGCATCGGGTATTCAGGAATAGGGGACAAAGATTTGGTCCAAAAGGACAGCACTTCACTCAGTTACACAATGTGTTGACCTTGCTGGCGATGTCATCTGAAAAAGTTCCTGCTTGTAGCGGCTCCACACAACATTTCTTCTTCTGTGGTGACTCTGTCTCTGGGGTGGTAGAGCCCTTCCTGGGTTACCAGAACTGTTGTGTTTGCCTTCCTTTTCTGCCCTGCAGCTTAGCAGGGTCTTCTTGGGAGAACGGGCTTTTGAATCAAAGTTAGTGTAAAACAGTGCACTGAATAGTCAGATCATGTAAGTGGTTTTTGAAGAGTCTGTATTCTCACTCAGTTCTGAAGACTTTAGGTCAGTGGCGTTAGTTCCTGGTACATTTAAGCTATAGCAGCATGTTGTTGACACTTTTGTATCTGTTGCTGCTTTTGCAGCATTTGAGAATTCACAAGGGTTTTTAATACTGCATAGATTGTTCATTATAGAATATAAACTTTTACGAGAAGCTTTATCAGATGATGCTAGCATAAAGACTGAGATTGGTAGACAAAGTAAGTTTTCATTTATCCAGAAACTGTAGTACTGAATACTGAATTTTTGTGTGTTTCATGGTTACAGAGAGGAGTCACATCTAGGTCACAAGGAACAAATGAAAAAATATGCAACACCCTTACTTAACTGTAAAATCGGTGATTTGGGGAACAGAAACATAAAAGTCTTTTCTGGAAAACCTGACATGCATTACTCAAAAGCTATTTCAATAAAGGCATTCTATTTTTTTTTTTTAATTCTTTCTTGCAGTCACTAAAATCCTGCAGTTTCAAATTGACTGTGTTAAGAATTTTGCATTATTAATTTGTTTTCCATCTCCTGTTAGGAAAACTTGCTTTTATCCATACTGCCAGCTCATATATCTATGGAAATGAAGCTAGCAATCATAGAGCGGCTAAAAGAAACTAATGATAATAGGCAAATGCATGACAACAACTTCCATAGTCTATATGTAAAAAGGCACCAAAATGTTAGGTAAGTGGAAACTCTAGAAGTAATTGTATTAATGTAAGCTGCTGATTCATAACAGTGCATATGGTCTGGTGAAATTAAAATTTGGAGGCAGACTTTCAGGCTGAAGTGAGCTGTTTTCCTGTTGTGGGAAGATAACATGTCCTGAACTGATGTGCTGTCCTCTGAATCAGTTGAGATACTTGAAACCTTTTTTCTGGAGTTGTTTCCAAAGAGAGAGATGCTTTCTCTTAAATGCATTTTAATATTTACGCTGACTGTGGAGTAGACATGTCTTCGTATTTTAAATAAGTTGGTTTTTCCTTTTGTTCTTGTCTAGCATTCTTTATGCAGACATTGTAGGATTCACTCGCCTTGCCAGTGACTGCTCTCCTAAGGAACTAGTAGTGATGCTGAATGAACTTTTTGGAAAGTTTGATCAGATTGCAAAGGTAGGTGTTGCAGTTTGTTGTGCAGTAGGGATAAAGGCCACCATTGGAAAAAGAAGTCTCTTCCACAAGACAGAAGGCAGTTGGTGTTAGTGCTTCTGAAGTCAGGAAGAGAAGACTGCTTTGGCTTTAAAGCTAACTAGAAAAATCACATTAAAACAGAATTTAAAACACAAACGTGATATTTAGCAAGTTTTTACTGTAATTCCAATTCTTGAATCTGGAGGTTTATCTGTATTGTTCAGGGAATTGTCTGATGGCAATAAGTGATTGTAATAAGGCTGTAAGAGAGGGACTGTATGCAAGCTCTATTGAGGAGCTTTGCTGTGTTCAGTTAGAGGAATTGTTTGTTGGCTTTACAAATGGAGAACTCACAGGCACACATTTAAATTCATAAATTCAGTCATACTGCATCAGACCAAGGAGTTCTTTGGCTCAGGAGTAATAATTAGTAATGGGTACTTACAGAAAAGGGTAAGAATGGGAAGTAGGTTAAAATGGTCCCTGTTAAGATGTGCCCTCGCTCCTGACCCTTCAGGCTGGCAGTAGTCCTTACCACTTCCAAGTGCTGCTTGAGGTTAATTTCTTTGCAGGTGTAATCACAAACTCAGGTTTTGAGTTCTCGGATTACAGGGGCTGTATCGTATACATGTTTGCGTGATTGACTGTGTGGTGTTTTCTGTTCTTCGCTAAAACTGACCCTAATCCTGGATATATGTTCCATCATGTCCATTGATTTTTCTGTTAGCATTATGAGGCAAATACGGCTTTAGGAAAATAAACGCTGCATTTTGTTGCATCCTATGTGACATCAAAAAACCAAATACCAACCCAAATTCTGGTTCTAGAAATTTAACATTGGTAAAACATAAGTCAAGACTAGTGACTACCTATCAAAACTTCCCATGGTTTAAAGATCTTGGTTTGATTTCATAACTGACTATGTTTGGATATACTGAGTGCAAATTAGAAAATTAATGGACTTGGAAAATCTCATTTTTGTTAAATTCTAAAAATTCTTCAGAAAAATGGGAAAACTCTAAAATTATTAACATAGCAGAGGAGTGAAATTGCTTTAATTAAACCTTTGGGGATGTCATTGAATAAATTCTTAAATATATCGCTGATTAAAACCTAGCTAAAATCCCAGTTAACCTTTCTGACTAAATGGCGTTGCTAATCTCTGTATTTATATGAATTCAGTTGCTGTTAAAACTTGAAGTACTGGCAAATAAGAGAGTCATGCTAACTGTATTGTAATTGTATTGTTGCGAAGCAGCGATTAAGAACACACGGAATAAGTCACGTCATCTTAGTTGCCACGAGCTTTATATGCCAAAGTAGAAGCTGAGGTTAAAGACATTTGGTCATTTTTTGCAACTGTTCCTCGGATACAAAAATAGAAAAGATTCCATATTTTGAGTGATATGTTTTAATTTCTCACTCCTGTCTGCAAATTGCACTGTTTAAAAAATGTCTGGATTTAGTGAGTCAAGGTCTTTTGCAACTCTGTGGTTGAGCTGTAAGAAGAGATTACTGCTTTTTGTGCTATTTTTGTTCTGCTGGGGAGTATTCTCAGTCATCTTTTCCGTAATGTAAAAATGTTGTAGGCTCCAATTTACCTAATAAAAGTTGATGCCTAACCTGGACACTGAAATGGATGCTGAAGTCTAACAGCTCTAATCTAGGACTAGGTTCTCCTGCTGATCTGTCTAAGCTCGTCACTTGCTGCAAAGCTCACAACCTATTGGATGGCTTAAGATGGTGGAGAATGATGGCTGTTCTCTTAAGGCTTTGACTGATGAGGGAGAACAGCTTGGTTTGGTAAATTGCCACTGATTTGGGCTGGTGTTGGAGTTGATTGGAGAACTGCTGGGCTGTTCCCACAGCAGGGAGAGTTAGGCAGCTGAAGGTGTCAGCTGGCCTGAATTAAGCCATCTCTACTCATCAGTCCAACACTACACAGCCTCACGGAATTAGCCCTGGCTTGCTTGTAACCTTTGTAGTTAAAATTCTTCAGTAATGTTTTAATAAAAGACAGTATGAGGAGCTCTCTGCTCTTCCCCTTTCCACTCTCTAACCCATCATGGGCAGCAGTATCCTCTGTTGCACAGTTAGGAAAAAGTTTTAGTACTGTGGATTTTTATTAGTGATAGCAAAAGGTAGTATGTCCTGGCTTCCTCTTCAGTCATATCTGAAAAAAAAAACAAACAACCAAACATTTTGCTTCTGCAAATCTACCAGGTTGGGCATCTTAATTCTTAACGCCTCCTTAAATTCTGTGCAGGTTTTATGTCATTGCACGATGTTACTTAGGAGGCTGCCATGCAAAAATTAAGGAAAAAGTGAACAAACTGCCTGTAATTCAGACGTTAATAAAGACAAAGATTAAAAGATAGATAAATAGATTTCATCCTTTAGATGGTAAATAAATAAAAAGTTTTATTTTTATTTATAGTTTCTCAATTGCACACAGTTCCATGAATACATTCAGAAACTAGTGAGATGATTTTGTTTCAGAAATGCTTGAAGTGGTCATTTCTGTTACCCTCCAGTGAGCAACATCCAGGCATTTGG